TAGCTCAGCTCAGGTAACGGAAGGTTGAAGAAGCACGACGATTCTCTCTCTCCCTCTCTCTCTGCTGTCGAAGCATTTTCAGCTGCCGGTCATCGCCGGATACTGGCCGCCGGATGCGTGACCGATGGCGATCGGACGGCGGATGGCGGGGGACCATGCGTCGGGATTTCGTGCGGCCTTGAGAATCGCGACTCCTTTTTTCCAGGGTAAAAATTATTATCCGAACTTTAATTAAATTCGAACCATTGAAATTATTAAATATAATGTATAACAAAAAATGGAATGCGAATCCTACCAAGATCTATGCAACTGAGCAAGTATAATTTAGAATTAAATTTCGATAACGAGTGTCCATAATGTATTTTCTTTTGTGTGTGCAATAGATGATTAGATTGTGATGTGATTTTGATTAAATAGAAATTCTGAATAAGTTTTAAGCGTAATCCTTAAGCAGGATCAATTTAAAAAATTTAACAAGTTTCAGAAACTCAAAAGAGTGCCGGCGGCTCCTTTTATGCATTATCATAAATGTGACATGCTTGTCACGAATTGTTTTGATTGAGTCATATCCGCTTATTCGAGATTGACGAGCTCGTCATTGCGGCCTGAAATGTTAGGTATATGCTGTCGATCCCGTTATTTTTTTAAAGAAGTTTCGACAATAAAAAAAATTAGGGAAAGTTTAATCAATTAAATACTCGCTCATAATTAATTGCGTCATTTATGCTTCCTTGCACCGTACAGAAATGCCTAGGAGAATCCAACTTATTAAAGCAAGTGACCGTGTACAGTCACTCCCATTACAAGGGAGGAGCCAATGGATGGAGCACACGCGTGCGGGGGCGGTCGACATTAGATAGTGCTCCTTTTTTGAAATAATTGCGGGCGCGGAGGCGCAATCAAGTGAGAGCGACCCCACGGGGTGCTAACGGTGGCGTAGAGTAGGGGTGATCGGTTCCCGGTCCGGTCTGGTTCCGAGTGGAACCGGGAACCGGACCGGGAGAACCGGTTCCCAATTTTGGGAACCGTGGACCGGACCGTTTGGTCCTAGGACCAGGAACCGGACCGGACCGTCGGTCCGGTCCACTAGAACCGGTCACTTAGGATTTAATTTTTTTTTTGGTCAAATACTTAGGGTTTAGTTCACATTTTACTAATTTTTATCAATGAATTTATATCAATGAAGTTCACTTAGAGTTTAGTTCACATTTTACTAATTTTTATCAAAAAATTTATGTCAATAAAGTTCACTTAGGATTTAGTTTACATTTTATTAATTTTTTTGAAGAAAAATTATGTCGGTCCGGTCCGGTCCGATTACTCCTTGGAATCGGGAACCGGACCGCCCGGACACCGGTTCCACTTTTAGGAATCGGGAACCGGACCGGCACCCCTTAGAACCACCCAAATAGTGTCGATCCGGTCCAATCCGGGCAGTTCCCGGTTCGGGCGGTTCCGTTTGCACACCCCTAGCTTAGAGGATAAGCCGATGGAGGATATGCCGGGGAACGGCGGGAATTATGTTTTTGGATGCCATTTTGTTTTTCTTTTTTCTTTTGGTAAGGATTTTTAAATTTTGAATTTTTTTTTTGTCGGAAACTTTTGAAGTTTGTGAAGGAGCATCCAAGGAGATGTTTTTTTTTTTGGGACATCAAGGAGACATTTATTAATAAGGAATAATGACACAATTGATCATTGAACTTTGGTCCAATGTGTAACGTGATCCCTAAACTTCAAAGTGTAATCTCGTCCCTAAAATTTTAATTTATTTAATGTGGTCATGAATTTTTTGTACATGTTTAATTTAGTCCCCAAACTGTATGAAAATATCCAAGGTTGTCATTTCCATTAATTCAATTTCAAGGACAACATTGAATATTTTCATAAAATCTAGGGAATAAATTAAGCATATACCAAAAGTTTAGGAAGCCCATTGAACAAATTAAAAGTTCAGGGACGACATTGCACATTGGGCTAAGATTCATGGATTACATTGAATAATGTTAAAGTTCAGAGACCACATTACACATTGGCCAAAGTTCAAAGACCAGTTATGTCATTTACCCTATTAATAACTAAGAAATGTTCGCTGTCATGTTTATTATCATTATTTTTTTTGTCTAATCACTATTTTAAAAAGTAAAAAATATTCTCAAAATAAAGATGTTCGGTTGTGGACTAATTATATTTGTTTGTCTAGCCTTGGGAAAATGATATAAATAGTCCCTGAACTTTGTCTCAATGTGCAATTTGATCCCTGAATTTTTAATTTGTTCAATGCAATCCTTGAACTTTATTCTAACATTCAATGTGGTCCCTGAACTTTTAATTGGTTCAATGTCATCCCTGAACTTTTGGTACATGTTCAATTTAGTCCCTAAACTATATAAAAATGTTTAATGTAGTCTCTGAACTTGAATTAATGGAAGGACTACATTGAACATTTTCATATAGTTCAGGGACTAAATTAAACATGTACTAAAAGTTCAGGGACCATATTAAACAAATTAAAAGTTCATGGACCACATTGAACATTAAGCTAAAGTTTATGGACTACATTTAACAAATTAAAAGTTCATGGATCAAATTACATATTGGGCTAAAGTTCATGGACTGTTTGTGCCATTATCCCTCTAGACTTTTGAAAAGGTAGGTGACTTTATGCTTTTCCTCTAAAGTTCGAAATTTTATTCATATTTCAAAAGCAAATCACGAAATTTTTTTAGGGAAATCAATATGTCGGGATGAGATCATTCTTAAAGATTTCAAGGTGTTTCACATCAACAAAAAAAATCGCACAGAAACTTTATGGTCATCGAGATAAGTTACTGAAAATGAAAAATAATAATTTACAATAAATTCACGATGTTTGCAATTTCTCCAGAGAAGTTACGAATCTTAAAACTTTAAAACTTACGATAACTTGAGATTACAAATCGTTGTTTGCAGGAAGTTACATAGGTAAATTTACAATTAATGAGCACAACTACTAAGTATAGGTACTATCCCCCACAAAAATTTTATGTCGCATTCTATAGTCTAATTACTATGCGCATAAAAAGAAAAAAGTGTCAGAAAAGTCCTAAATCTATTGTATTGATACCAATTTAGTCATAAACTTTTTTTTTGTGTCAATTTTATCATAAACTTTTTGACACAGTGCCAATTCAGTTCTTCCGACTAATTTTGGCCGGATATTGCTGACGTAGATGTCAGTCGGCCTACGTGGTACCGCCGATGCTGACATGAATAATATTCTAATATTTTTAAATATTTTTATTGTTTTGTTATTCTTTTTCTCTTATTCCTTTTGCTTGTGGCCAACCACCGAGCGGGTTGGCCTCGACTGGGTGAGGGTCGTCGCCGGCCAGGCGAGGCCAGCCTAGACAACGCCAGCCAAGTGAGGTCGAGTCCCAATGAGGGCCGCCTTGGCCTGGGTGAGGGTCAACCTTGCCAGATCTTGCCTTGATAATAGCTTTATGATTTTTTTAACACTTTTCTCCACACAAGAAATTACCAACTATAAGCGCCGCTCGATTTTTTTGTGATTTCAAGTAAATCACAATCATTAAAGGTGCGACCAATCAATGAGAACAAGAACAATAAGTTACCGGACAACATATCGAGGAAAATTATGTTGTTGTTAGATAATTACTAAATGATAGCATCCTCGACTTGCGACGTGTAATGAAAACTTACCATCCATCATGGAAAGTTACTTATCTATCATAAGTGCAATCAAATTACGATGATTTCAAGGAATTTGCAATAACTTTGAGTATAATTACTAATTCTTGGTACTATCACTTTTACAACGAATTTGAGTAGCTTGATATGCTAATTGGTCTGCTAGAAAGGCTAGCATTCTTAGGTTACAAAATGCTAATTAAGAATAGGCTGTTGGGAAGAATAGGGTCTTTGAAGCTAGAGTATAGCACAACTACATAGTCCCAAACTAGGAAAGACATTGATACTACAAACCCTTCTAACTGTTCTTGCTTCTCACATGTCATGTCAGAACGGAACCGAACCATCAGGACAATAAAAAACAATGGGGTAATTATCCAAAAAATCCTAAAATTTATTATACCACAGTCAATTTAGTTATAAACCTTTCAATTGTGTCAATTTAGTCTTAAATTTTTTAACGTTTTGCCAATTTAGTCATAAGCCTTTCTTTGTATTCATTTAGTCCTAACCTTTTGAAGATTTGCCAATTAATCCTAAACCTATTATTCGGATATTTGGCAAGATAGATTATATTGGCAAGTCGTCAAAAGGTTTAGAATTAAATTGACAAATCATTAAAATGTTTAGAACTAAATTGACACAATTGAAAGGTTTAAGAATGAATTGGCCCATGTACAATAGGTTCATGATTTTTGGACAATTTTTCCGAAAAGCAACTCTTTTGCTCGGAAAGATTTGATATCGGTTTAGTTGTAAGTACGCTTGGCCAAAGAAAGCAAAGATCCAGTGCTGATTAGACAGAAGAACTGGTCTCGGTTAGTCCACTTTGGTCTAGATGACCATGCATGCATTCTTGTCTCGCGATTTACTGCGCAACTCGGAGCACGGATCCATCGCCTCACTGGGATTCAAGCGCGGTTCCCATAAGTGGTTCTCAAGAGATCAAGCTTTGCCGATGCTGATTGACAGATTCGATCGAGGTGTTGAAGTTTTCACTAAAATCTCAGAGCACGTTACAATTGTTGTGCAGTTGCAGGACGACCTGCAACTAGTGCTTTTGCTGAAGATATCTTGGTTCTTGCCTATTCACTGGGCTACATTTTCAATAAAACGAACAGCGAGAGTTCATGTGATTGCTTCATTCTAATTCCGACGTTCCTAAATCAGTAGTCATTTCACGATACGAACCCACGTTTTAATTGAAGCCGAACCGTGGCTTTTCGTACGTAGTGGCGCAAATTCATAGGCAAATCCATGAAATATTATTCTACACCCCAGAGACTGTTCTTGACATATGTAGAGCGTGGTCAAATGAAGTTCCCAATCCTCAGCTACACAAAGAGATTGAGGCATTCATCCACAGTTGTGTATTTCACTTCTGGATAGAGCTCTGAAGCCTCGGCTCCGATCGAAGCGTTGATATCATAATTTGCTGCATGATCCCCCTTCACGAATGCCGAGTGGCTGACCGACAAAATCATGTTGATTGGAAATGGAGACTCTGAAGCACGAAACATCGAAAAAACGACTTAGTATTTATCATGAAACTATCCAGCTAAAAGCTGATTTAACCACGTAATTGGCAAAAAGGCATCCATTCGTCTAGTGAATGCTATGTTTTCGATTTTTCCAACTTACCACGGATATTCTTGAGAAGCTCGTCTTCCAGAATGTACGTCTTCTCAAGGGTGCTCCCGATCTTCCTCTCCCAGAGGGAAATGATCTCGTTGAAGCTCGGGATGTTCGCTGGTGGACTCATGTAGAGAATCTTGTTCAGTGTTCTTGGGTCACCTACTGCTTTGATAGTGTAAGTGGCTATATCTTCTTCCTTGAGAATAATGACTGTAAAAAAGAATGACAACACTCCCATCTTAGCTGATATTACTGAAATTGAACTTATGAGGGTGTCCGCAATCATATAAGAGTAAACCAACCTGAGCTAAACATGATATGTCTGATAAACATGAGGCTAAGGATGAGTCGCGCGGTTTGAGAATGTGTGCGCTAATCACTAAAGAAAAGCTGAAAACGAATACAGCACGGACAGCATACATAGACCTTGTTCGAATCACCTTTTGTATTGCCATCACCTAAGATGGTGATTTTGTCTCTCAGGGGGACTTTAGCGCCAATTTGTCCCAGGTTGGAAAGATAGTAGCCGGCAAAACCGTGGGAGACTACATAAGTGAAAGGGATTCCCTCAGCCTCGGTCGCTCGCCTGACCTTGGCTTTGATCCTGATAAGGCTCGCAGCTGGCTCGACCGCATTCGTTAGGTCCACATCGACTCCAAATTCGGATGGAAGGAACCTCTAGATCACCCATGAATTTCATAAGACCAGTGTCATGGACAACAACGTCGAGATAAGCATATATAGCAGAGAAAAAGTTTCTGTCATCCACTAAGGCTATGCAGTGGGTGGGGAAAACGAGAAATTTTTTTGCGCAAGAATTTCTATGATTCGAGCGAATACCGCATACTTACCTTAATATTTCCGGCTTCTTTGATTGCTGCAATGATCTTAAACTGATCAGATTGCTGTCCTGGTCCAACCGCAGAGATCACCACCTCAACTTGCTTGATTGCCATGACCAAACTCTCGCGATTATCGATATCTCCCTGCGATATAGAACAGAAGAAGCTCTCTCTTGTGAGAAAACTGTGGAAAAAAAAAGCATGTGATGATTTGATGGTTATTCTCTTTCACACATACATAGATCAGTGAAACTCCTGAGCTCTTGAATCTCCCTATCAGCTCCAACTTCTCGGGATTAGAAGCCGTGCTCTCCCTGACTAATGCATAAGTGGGATATCCTGCTTTCCGACTTGCCTCCACCAGGTACTTTCCGATGTATCCGGTCCCTCCGATGATCAGAATCTTGCTTTTCTCTGCCATGTTACCGTGTCCTCAAGACTCGCAAGCAGATAAGATGATAAACTCGAACTCGCAAGGCTCAAAAGAGGAAATCTCGATATGTTTGTTAGCTATATTATACCGTGTTTATAGATTTCTCCGACTCATATGTTGTATGATTTACCTAAGAAATCAGCTCAATAACGACTTGTCAGGATCACCTGCCCAGATTACTGACTTGCGGAATGAAACGTTTGATTTCTAGAAATAAGCTAATGAGCATTACGTAAGCATGTATGTCAAGGCAGATCAGGCCATGAATGGTTTGTTTAATATATCTGCAACCACGTCTTACTTCTGTTGGGGGGCTTCAGGTCAATATCACGTGCTATGTCGAAACTGAAGAAATTCAGAAGATGAAAACGCATATTCGTATGTAACAACAGTGCAGAGACAGAACGTTTGGTAGCATGGCCAATCTCCATCTATGAACATCGCTGGCGAATCATGTAACACTTAATATGGCAAGTACTATGTAAACCTCGACGACTTATGTACGAAACTATCTGCTGTACACGACCAAAACAAGAGCTCCACTTTTATTTCCTTTTGTGCCGCTTCAAGAGGTCGAAGGATAACACTCGCAAGAAAGAAGAGACGTCTACTGCACGGCCAAAAATTTGAGTTCTTTTGTGGGCAAAAGGAAGTCTTCTCTTGTGTGTGTACATATATTCCGCCTCTCACGGCTAAAGTTGGACTTCTATTGAAACACTCATTGGATCGTCCCTGCGATATATCAGTCTATAATCTCCGGGTCTGATTTCGTACACGGAGTCAAACTCAAGACATAATTTAACACTACTAGCGATTCCATGGAACTTCTTATGCTATTTTTTCATGGTTAATTGACAAAGAATTGCGGGACATGATAGTTTTCTGAACCGACGACTTTCTCAGTTTTCATGATTATACTCGTAACTTAGTTGTGCGACCTTTGTATTAAAGTTTGCAGTAACCCTCCTTTGGTATAACCATTGACCCCTCCATAGAAGCAGTCAACCTGTTTTTCTCTTTGCTTTTTTCTTTCATCTAAGTTGTTAGGCAAGAGCATGAAGTCTCAGAACTAGCGAAGACTGATTCAATGCGGAAGATGAATTGCATAAGCATTCTTCTATGTCGCTGACCTGAGAATAACTTTCATTTACATATGAAACTATAATCAATGGCTGCAACAGGTATTGTTGATACCCGATGCTTCGTTAGGGCCACCTCGAGTCTTGCCGAATCATTGAACTCAAACATTGCTCGAAAAGATCAGCAAGAGCAGAGCAACCCTTCTGATGGTTTTTTCGCCATTAAAAAATCGAGCATCCTGAAGTTGTTAGTTCACTCATTCTGCAGTACTTTAACTGGCCAAACCCTTGAGGTACTATATCTAATCATCAAGTGACACATTAAACGAGCGGAAAAGGAGGATCCGCTAGTATCGATTCATATATTTGATGGAACACACGGAATGGTTCTGGTACACCAATGCACGAAGTCAATCAAAGTGCATGAAAAGTTATTTGGCACACGAGTTGTGACTGGTTTGTGATACACATATACCAAGTGACAATAACTCAAGAGGACTAGGCAAAGAAACTGAGGTACTCATCCACAGTCGTGTATTTCACTTCCGGATAAAGCTCTGAAGCCTCTGCTCCGATCGAAGCATCTATCTCATAGTTTGTGAACCTCCCTTCACAAAGGTTGAGTGGGTCATGGCCAAAATGATGTTGATGGGCTGTGGAGACTCTGCAACAGTCAAAAATAGGGAAAAAAAAGTAAACATTGGGCCTTAACCAAGAAACCATCAAACGAAAAGCTGATATCTTTATGTGTGTTTCCTGTTTAAATTGCTTTCAGTTATCCACTAACCTTGGATCTTCTTGAGAAGCTCATCTTCCAAGAGATATGTCTTCTCGAGGGTCGCCCCAATCTTCTTCTCCCAGAGGGAAACGATCTCGTTGAAGCTCAGAACATTCGCGGGCGGTCTCAGGTAGAGGATCTTGTTCAGAGTTCTCGGGTCATCCACCGTCTTGATGGTGTATGTGGCAATATCTTCCTCATTGACAAAAACAACTGACGAATTGAACCAGGACAAACAGATTTAGCAGGCAAAATTTGAAAGTCGACCATAACGTGTCCGGCGTAATCGAAAAATAGATCAATCGTAGAGCTTAGATGAGACACAGGGCTACCGAAATATTTTCCTTGTTCGTCCGACTTCATTTCTTATAATCAACACGATACAATCACTCCCAGCCACTTCACAAAAAAATTTAGGGGGAGTAGCATTTTCACGCTACAGACAACATCTAATGTGCATTCCAAACTATCACGGTTGAGTCTATTAAACGCATTTCGGGCAAACATCTCTCTGAAATCTGCGAGGTCTAAATTGCTCATGAAACCAACCCAAGTTCGGAGTATTTTCAATATGCATGTAAAGATCGTTAGTGTCTTCTGGGAATGTGAATGTACTTAATCACTTTAGTCGAAAAATAAAACAAAAGGCCGGGCATCAAAACCAATCACCTTTCGTTTTTCCGTCACCTATGATTGTGATTTTGTCCCTTGGAGGAGATTTTGCACCCGTCTGTCCCAAGGTTGGAAGAAAATATCCAGCAAAGCCATTCGATGCAACATAAGTGAAAGGGATTCCTTCGGCCTCGATTGCGCTCCTGATCTTAGCTTTGGTGCTGAAAAGGGTCGCTGCTGGCTCGACCGCCTTGGCACGGTCCACATCGATACCGAATTCAGAAGGAAGGAACCTCTGCCGAATTCATGAACATCTCTAAAAAGAGTTCCAAACAAGGGAACACAGGCAAATGTAATGACATTATCCGGAGGAAAACGGAAAATATATCCATATCAATTTTGGATAGTAGTCGTGCAACTATAAAATTGTACTTTCGGAAGCTTTTGTTAGTGTATCGATCTCTATTTCTCAACATATTTACAGTGCAAAATGAACCCCTTAGGAATGATTCATGGGAAAATTTGCGACGAAATGATTAGTTTATATACCGAATATGAATTTCCAGAACTTAAAGAGCATTATAAACAACACCTTCTATAATACAAGAAGGTAAACATCAATTCCATTTTTTTCAATGACAATATTTTCAAAAACTATCAATTAGTCACTTGCCTTAATATTTCCAGCTTCTTTGATTGCTGCAATGATCTTAACCTGATCGGCGAGCTGCACTCCTCCCACTGCCGAGATCACCACATCAACTTGCTTGATTGCTGTCACCAAGCTCTCGTGATCGTAAATATCTCCCTGCAAAGTCAAATAGAACACAAATCTAAGGTGAGATTATGCCCCCAGGTGGTTGAAATACATCAAGAAGTATTACTTTCCAAAAATGTTTTTTTCATGTCATACATAAACTACGGAAACCCCCGAGCTCTTGAAGCTTTCGATGAGCTTTGACTTCTCGACATCAGAAGCCGTGCTCTCTCTAACCAATGCATAAGTGGGGTGACCCGCTTTTGCACTTGCCTCCACCAGGTGCTTGCCAATGTATCCTGTCCCTCCAATGACCAAAATCTTGCTCCACTCTGCCATTTTTATCACACTTTCTCAAGGACCAAGAATTAAAGAAAGAAGATGAAAACTTGACCTTGCAGGCTTGGCTTTTTCCTTGGAGATGTCGGCTAATATACCAGATTGAGTGGAGATTAAATAAGGAAAAATTGACATTATCATGTTCTGCAGATCACTTCCCCACCGGTTACTCTTAAGATTTCAGAGGTCAATGCTACAGTTATTAACTTTCCCATCTGACATTAGTTAGCATCTCTAACTTGCTGTCCAAGTTCAAGCCTTATTCCTCCATTTCTGCGTTTGCATATTCTATTGTCAGGCCTCTACGATTATCTTTTTAAGTGAATAGAATATCTTTTTTTTCATTTTTATGTGTTCTCATCTGCTTGAATTTCTATATGATGATGCAGAAGGAACATTCCATCATCTTAGGTTTTGTTTGATCCCACAAGAATCTACTCTCCTTTAAGGCTTGAACCTACCTGTCTCGTCGATATTACGGGAAGCTTAGAAAGAGAAGGCTGTTTGAATGTCAAACTGTTTTGAAAGTGTCAACCCAAGATTGTTGCTGTAACATGGTCTTGATTTCTTGGGCAAGAGTAACTGCAAATATATATACATTTATCCCTCTGAATGCTCTTGTTTGGTGCTGACATGTAGGACTGCAATTGAGTCGAGTGGAGCCGACACAATGCTAGGCTCAAGCTCGCTGTGAATCATATACTTGAATATGGAAACTCAGCCCGAGCTCGATCAAGTACTCTTTTCCTACTCGACCTCGACTCTGTGTAATAGTCGATGTATTGGAGCTCGACTCAACTCAACTCGATTTTAAATATATAATACTCATGAATTCAAGTTTTTCCAGCTCAATCGAACTTGACTTAGCCTCGAACATTCACCCTTTTTGTTAGTGTTTATGATTATATGAAAGGGTGAAAGTGTTACTACATATAAAACATTATAATATAAGTCTATTTAATATTATATGTCACCGAAGTTAAAAGCAAAATCTATATAAAAAAGGAGATACTCAATTAGGCCGGCGAGTTGATGAGTCAAATATCTTTAGACTCAAATTCAACTCGACTCGAGCTCGAAAAATATCGAGCCAATCTCGAGCAGGTCGTTAGTCGAGCATAGAGATGGCTGCTAGACGGGTTTGGGACAGCTTGTCTTGTCTCAAACCCATCCCGCTAACATTTGAGTATTTCCCGAAGCGGTCCTATACCCGTACCAAATCCGACCCACTTAAGTTTTCATAAAACCCGTTCTCAATGGGTTCTCGAAATCACTATGGTTATTATTTTCTTCCATAGAACTTCTGATTAAAAGGTTGTCCAACACAAAATAAAGTGGTCACACATTCACTGTCATAGAAATCCAGGTTATGCGACCACATCGATTTTAGATTCTTGGGTAAATTCTATGAATCATAAAACAC